GCAGCTGACCAGTGCGGCGGACTCGGCGTTGCCTCAGCCTCCTCCGGTGCGTCTATCTGATAATATGTACAGCAGTGAACCTGCTGCAAATGGTAGCGGCAGCAGTAGCTCGCTGCCGTCGGTAGAGATCGCGTTCGGCAGTTACGCTCATTCGTCGGTGCTGACCGCCCAAGCGCAGCCGGTGGACGACGACAACCGTTTCGCTCCGTTCATTCAAAAAGTTGAAGAACAAGTACCGCCGCTGTCCCCGCAGGCAGTAACGCAGTCAAGTTCGGCTCTTACCGATGCTTTGCCTCCTGTCGACAAAGCCGAGCCTCCACGGGAGAACGCTGCTATAGTCGCCTCGAACGCCTCTCCAAACGGTTCAGCAACTGACAGGACAAAAGCAATCGCCGAATTTGACAGTGACTGCTTGACCTGACGTACACAGCGTTATTTTCATATTTACATTCGACTGTATGTCCTGCCTGTGCCAGTACCGATATTTGTTGTCGTAGTGAGCAAGAGCGTACGCTGTTCTCGTCTTTTGTATTACGATGGCATAACATGTTGTTGTAGTGTAACACCACTGCCGTTATTGTATAGTTTCAGCTATTGTCGCTGATTTTTGCTTTGTACGTTGGTACTGAAATGTTGTTATAATGAATGCGTTGTTGAGAGTTTTAGTCAATGTTGTTATTTAAATGAACTTAAGCGTAATACTGTCCTAATGCGTCAGTCGTTGAGTGATTTGCAATTTTTGACTGGCTGCACACTGGATTATTGTATTGTTGTGCATTAAAGTGTTGAAAGCTTAAAGTTTTCTATCGGCTAAGCGTTTTGCTTTTCAACATGCATAGTGGAAAGAAAGGATCTAGTGTGCTATCCTCCACTTTTTCGAAACAGTGGTATCAATAAATGACAACCTCTTCAAGAGATATAAGGAATAAACAGAAAAGTTGAGCTTCCGGCTTAGTATAATCGCATCGCCATTCTTAGACGCTTGCTGAGATTTGAGGATCCTATGTTGAAAGGAAACAACGATTTCAAGCCCGTTCAATGAAACTTTCTGAATACGACAAATAACGGCGTAAATTAATGATAACAGTAATTTTAATCATACATAACAAAAAATAACT